CTTCCTGCATTCTCCCTGTGTACAGCCGCCTTTTCCCTTCTCATGCTCTCGTTTATGGTTTCATGACCTACACACACAGCTACACACACTATATGCACAGATAGGAAGCATTGCCATCTGAAGCAAGATTTATGACATTCCACTGCTGACCACTTTCTGCCTGATAAATTTCAATGTGACCTCAGGTATACAGCTGTATAAGACAGGTATACACATCAGATACTTGTGGATAATAAATCATAATTTTAAGACAAGTCTTTGGTACATTTATTTTTACCATTTGTTAAAAGTGAAAAGCACATTTGCATGTTAATAAGATGGATATGCGTGTTCATTTTTACATAGAGAATTAAAACTTGGCTAAATATTTGACAAGACCTCATTGTGTAACCCTGACTGGCCTAGAATTTGCTATGTAGACCAAGCTGGCCTCAAACTCATAGAGCTCCCTGCCTCTGTCTCCGGAGTGCTGGGTTTAAGTGGTCACCACTATGAGTTGATGGATATTTTGCTTTTATAAATGACAGTGCTGAGGGCACCACTTCATATAAATGGGTAGTGCAGACAGGGAGGGGTATGTCGGGACCACTTAGAAGTTATTAGAAATTCTGTCCTAATTTCAATGCACTGAACAATTTTTTCATGAAATTCAAGTCAACATCGCTAGCAGCAAGTTTTAAGATCTAACATTCTAATACAATATAGTCCAAAGGTATAGTAACCTGATGCTTACGTGATGGTAGGAAAATAGAAAAACCCTTTGTTTCCCATAATTAAAGTGCATGTTTCTCTAAGGACAGAAAATGCAGTCAAAGCACAAAAATTCATAGCATGGAAGAGATGTGAGTCTGAACCGAGGCATTTTGGGAGCATTCTTTGGCACTGTGGGGTGTGAGGGCTTGCACCACAGAAGGTACACTTGCAGTGTGCTTAGAGCCAAGGCTGTAGTGAAGTTGATACAGGAGTAGGTATCGTGAGAATCACCTCAGATGCGCTGTATGGTTGATTCTGAATTAACTTTTGGGTGTTGCGTGTCCAAAGGTTTTTGCTTTTTCAAAATTTTGCAATCCCAATGTTTACATTCATGCCCCATGCAGGTTCATGATCCCCAGTTTAAGGAGTTGGGCTTTAGAGTGTAGAAGGCCTCCAACAGTTCTATGGGCCTGAAAAGATCTTAATTGTTTATCTGTTTTCCCAGGGAGAAATCTCTGGAATCAACAGCCTAAACACGTCAAATATATTTTTGTTAGACAAATATTTTATTGAGATGAAAGGAAAGAAGTGTTTAAAGAAATGATATATCAATGGGTATGCATGGGTGTATATGCACACTCACAAAGTACTGCAAACCATGTCACATACATGTGCCACACATGTTAATAATCATTTTCTATACCAAATGTGTTTCTGATGCCCATGATCCCAACCTCAGGCCATGACCACTGAAGTGGGAACAGATCACCGTGTCAACTGCCGCAGCCAAAGATGACACTCAAGTCATGGAAACATTAGCTAGTCTTTCAAACACAGCGTCCGATGGATGCTGAACAGTTCTCAATGAATGTTTACCCAATGAGAGGGATAGTACCCTTTCTTAGAAGCTACTCAGTCCGTTGTATTACATTTGCAGGAACTTCTAATGGAGTCCAAAGCAAGAATTCATCGTTAGTGTTAAAGGAACTTGGTGCCATCTATGTTAACTGGGCATCCTTACAATCTGCAGTGGGTTCTGTTTAAAAACCCGTGAAAAGAGACTTGCCCCAGGGTTCTGAAAGACCAGTGAGTTCATGGAAAACAAACAGCTGCCTTGCTGACCCTACTCCATCTTTAGGGCCTCCTGTTAGGGTGCTCATAGCTTATTAGGCACAGAGTAACCTCACGAGGGTTGTCGGGCATTGGTGAGCCCAGGGGAAGGCTACCAACGTGTGCACAGGGCTGCAGGTGTCTCTTTGGGGTCATCTCACAGCCCACCTTGTTCTCTTTCCACTCTGGCTAGAGCACAGAGTTTTGCTATCTCTTTTAAAACCAAAGTGCAACCACTTGGGCCCATTTCCACATCTGTTCATCAATCATTCACAATTTAGTCATTCACACACCATGCTCAGGCTGTTAGAGGAAAGGAGGCAGACAGAGCACCCTGCCCCAGGGGGAGCTTCCTGCGCCATGGTGTGTCCGGAACTACAGAGATCAGAGCACAGCAGAGCCATGTTCCCTTTTGCTATTTGATCTCCCAAACTTGAGTCCTGGACAGAGCCCACTTCCTGTCCCCAGTGTCACTGTGAGAGAAGGCGCTGAAGTTGGTGCCCTGTGCTGCAGTGGCGATAGACTACTGTGTAGATTTTCAGAACCACGGAAGAGGTGAACGAGAATTGGTGTGGGAGTGGGGCAGTGAGGAGGGGTCTCTGCGGGACTCTGAAGAAGAAGCAGTCCAAGCCTGCTAAAAGAAGGGAAGGACAGATCTGTGTCGCCCCCAGCTCTTCCCCACCCGGTCCACGGAACAATCTTGTTTTCCGACCTGTGCCTCTCAGCATCATTTGCTCCAAACATTTGCGCAAACGGGAAGAATTAAACGAGGCTCCTGGGTCGGTAATTAAAGACAATGATTTCAGTGGATAGAGAGTTTTGTTTTCATAATCTCCTCTTTGTCTGCACAGAGCCAGCTCTTGGCTGCATCTGCCACCACTGGCCTTTGCTCTGTTTACTCTGAAGAATGAGGCACTGTTCTGTTTGCTTCTCGTTTTCAGTCTGTAAAACTCTGTTCTCTTGGTTCTCTATTCCAGGAAGGAAAAAAAAAAATAAAAGAACAAGGCTCTTTAAATATCACAGCAGTGACTACTTACCCATACGCACAGCCTCGATATTATCGATGACAGACACTTAGGAGAATGTGCAAGAATTTCCCAGCTGCCAGCTGGCAGCTGGACCTCAATTGAGAAAACTACTTTTTATTCAGCTGTCAATCATTTGGTGTACCTGGCTGCATTGCACCACAGTGTGTGTGTGTATTTCAAAAGGTCATTCACCTGTCTCAGGGTTCAAAGGGATTGTTCTGTTCGCTGTAAGAGTCACTGTGGTGACATATTAAGACACAGTTAAGGAAGGTGAAATGCTGTGGATAAGCTTAGGAGTATATACACAAAATACCAATAATGAAGAAAGGGTGGGAAGGAGGTAAAGAGGAAGGAAAGGAGGGAGGAAGGGAGGGAGAGAGGGAAGAGAAAAAAGAAAAGGAAAGATATAAGAAAGAAAGGGAGAGAAAGAAAGAAGGAAGGAAGAACATTTTTGTTGTTGAGTTCCAATTATTGTTGAAAATCAAGTAAGAAGAAACTAGGGTGTGTGGCATACTGGCAGAATGCTTACCTTGAATGTGCAAGGCATTGAGTTCCTACTCAAACTCCATTTTTAAAAAGCCTCCCCTCCCTCCAAAAAAAAAAAATTCACATAAGAACCACACTGAGGGAGCCTCACTGAAAATGAATCAGGCAGCTACTGTCACTAGGTTCGTTCAATCCATGTCTTCCCTCTGATGGTGTGCTTCAGCTGCCTGCTCAGATCACTGAGGGCGAGGCCGAGGCAAGCAGAGAGTCACGCCAACTTCATGGCCTGTGTGGGTCGTACACTGTGATGGATGGGCTCCAAACCGACCTTCAAGATTTAGCTTGCTGGCTGGGTGGCAGTGTATGAGGGTGAGTGTCCCCTCGCTTGGCAAAATCTACAATCATTTGTGGATGGGTCTCTGAGCACACCTGTGAAAGATTCCCTTTGTTGTGTCCACTGACGTGAGAAGACCCAGCTTAACCTTGGGCAGGACCATTCCCGGGGCCTATGGGAGCTGAGTGGCAGGCAGCTGGAGCTCATCTCTCTGGTTCCTGGTTGTGGATACAGTGCAATCAGCTGCCTCAAGCATCCCTGTCTTGACCTCCTCGCCATGATAGACTGTGCCTTGAACTGTGAGCTGCAATCAGCCCTTTTCCCTCTCAATTTGCTTCTGTCTCTGAATTCTAGCCCAGTAACAGAAAACCAAGGAATACTCCTCCCAGCCTGGCTTATCTACACCTGGAAGGAGGGGGCCCATGAAACAGTCCCGAGGGCTACCTCCCCCATCCCCACATCAGCTCACTTCTGGTGAAGAGAAAAACACGAGGGCGGCTCCACAGCGCGTTGCAGTCCAGGAAAAGCCAGCGGTATGGAGGGTAAGAGAGACGGCTTACGAAAATGACTGGCTCTCTCTGTGTAATGACTGTGTGTGAGGAGGCGGGAGCGGCTGACCCTGTAATAAGCCTGCATTCAGATGAAGGGAGCTGCTGTCTGCTGCCGTATTAAAATATTTATACTTACGTGGGGTTTTTATAATTATACAACTACGTTCACGCTGACGTTTATACTATTAAAACGCTGAAGTTTACAGTTCCCATGTCTCGACTACCTGGATGTTTAGAGGTTACAGTTGGGGAACCAGAAAGCCTTCAGCTCGCCTTCAACTCTCACAGGACAAGATTCCCAAATCCCAGTCCTTCCTCAAGAGTAAAAGTGGGGCAAAGTTCTCGCTGCCGCAGAGACTCAGGGGCCATCCTTCCCTGTCCCAACAGAGACACAAGCATGCAAAATAGGCTGCTCCCTCTGGTCCCTTCAGCCGGTGTGTGAGGGCAGGACACGGAAGTCAGACTCCTTGGTGTGTGCCATGACTGGCCACCCCTTGGCTGACTGTCCTAAGAGCTCTTTCTGGCCCCCAAGGCTGGAGCCTGCAGCAGCTCGTCCCCTCCAGGGCAATGCAGATGGAAGGGGTACAGGGCAGCCGGCCAGCCCAGCTTTTCCTGTTTTTGACAGGCTCCGATAGAAGCAGATCTTGTTCACAAACACACATGGGCACCAGGACCCAGACCAAACAGAATCTCAGATAAAACCAGGAGAAAAGAAAAAAAAAACAAAAACAAAACCACCAACTCACACTAATTTGCAGAGCTCCAAACAGAGCCAAATTCAAAGGTTTTACTGTTGAAACTACAAACAGAACCTTGGATTCAAAAACACCAGGAAATCATTCTAAGCCATTCCAGTGGCTTTCCTTCTGCTTCTGAAATCATCAAGTTCGTTATGAAAACAATGGCCTTCCTAAGCTGGATAATTTTATTTAACTTCAAGTCTCTTCATCAAACAGAGATAGGATCAGGGTGATCACTCCAGGTATCACTTGGGCATCTGGTCCTGCAACATGGTAGATCTATGTTAGAGACAAGTGCATTGATTTTTCCACAGCAGAAAGTTTTTTTTTTTCCGGATCCGAGAATAGCTGAAGCCTGCAAAACCGAGCAGATGCCGCATGGACGAGTCGTCTGGCTGATAAGATAGTGGAAAAGAAAAATCACCCCTTTGCACATCCCGAATTCCTGTCGGAGTAGGTCACAGACGCTGTTTGATTCTTGTATGTCAGGCTCTTTACCAACAGAGCCACACTCCCTGCTCTGTGGTTCTAAACAACAGAACGCTGGATGGCAATCCTCATTCCTCCCACCAGGTCTGAATGCACCCAAGTCATTTTGCGGGTGGTACAAAAAGTGAAGTCACATGTTTATCAGAAAAAAATTTAATTTACCTTATTACCAAAAAAAAAAAAAGAAGAAGAAGAAGGTGTGTGTGGTGGTGCACGCCTTTAATCCCAGCACTGGGGAGGCAGAGGCAGGTGGATCTCTGTGAGTTTGAAGTCAACTTGGTTTACATAGTGAATTCCAGAAGAGTCCCTGTCTCAAGAGAGAGGGAGCAGGGCTGGAGAGATGGCTCAGTGGTAAAGAGCACTGGCTGCTCTTCCAGAGGACCTAGGCTCAATTCCCTGCACCCACATGGCAGCCCACAACTGTAACTCCAGTCTCAAGGGATCTGACACCTTCACACAGACATACATGCAGGCAAAACAGGAATCACATGAGCCTGACCTTGAAAAGCAGTCATGTGCTGGTGATCTATGGTCACTCCCAGTAAGCACAGACCCTCATGCACTCCACGACCATCACTGCAAGTAGATTTTCACTCTAAGGAGAGAGTATGTGGGTCTCACCTTGCACAATGCCCATTAACAGGCACAATCCATGGGGTGTTCTCTGTCCCCAAATGTTCCTTTAGTCCTCACCCAGGTATTCCTCTGGGCTCCTCCCAGGTAAGGCTCACCTAATCATCGAGAGAGGAAAGGGCAGTAAGTCAGAACTGGGCTGGACAGGGCAGGCTGTGCCTCCTTCGTCCAGATGCGGCTGGCATTGTTCACACACCCAAACTTGGCCCCCAGGGTTGAAGATCTAGCTGTTCCCAAACAGAAAGGAGATCTGAGTTTGTCATGGTTCTCATTCTCAAGTCTGGGTTGACTGAAGGGCTCAAGTCAGAGCAGTGGTTCCTTGGTTCGTCAGGCTGACTCACTTGGTCCTAAGCAAGAGGCAGGTGGCAAGTTGTTAAGGCAGGGAGCTCACACAAGGCCAGTAAAACCACGAAGGTGCTGAATTTGTATACCCTTGACGTGTAAATCACATCCTGAGTATCTGTGCTAAGACAGGAAGCGGTATGGACAGGTTTCCCCTCAGACCACAGGGACTCACACCCCGAGACTTGAAGCACGGTTTCGATCTTCAGGCTAAGCCACCTGCTTGCCAATGCAGCAGGACTCTCCAGTGGCCCGTCTCAGATTCAGAAAGCAGGACAGGGCAGATGGGAACCAAGGGGCCTGCTTCTGAAGCTCAGCTGATTGCCCACTGCTCCCAAGGAAAAAGAGAAGGACAGTCCGTCTCCCTTACTCAAATTCCAGCAGGAATTTAGTGCCAAAATCAGAGTTGCATCAGGCAGGGTTACCTGAGGCTTCCTCTGTGCTAACAGAGGCTGTGAACTGGATGATGGCCCCAGGCTCAGAGCAGTAGTTTGGGAAAATCACCCATGGTAACAGCTAGGGAATGAGTCTTCTCTAGCTGCCAAAACCTCACTGCGTGTTGGAGGGAGAGAACTTGTAAGTAATCCACTTTAGAAAAACATCCACAACCTCGTGTTCACAGTGGTTCTTGGTGGAGAAATCCAGACCAGGTCTGAGTAAACAATGAGTGATATGTGGAGATGCAGGCAAGCTGGACACCCCCATTCCTAGGCAACATCTTGTATCCACCATGTAGCCCCCTGAGGAAACCTTTATCCTGTGGGAGCTTTGGTTTCCTGAACTGTAAAACTCAGCATTGACTTCACCGGCTTTATGGAGCTTTCCATAAAAAAAAAAAAAAAAAAAAAAAAAAAAAAAATTTAAACAATCTCCCTCAGCACGGAATACATGCACAGTGAAGCAAAGCTGTGGTGGTCAGCACCCTCCAGGTTGCTGTGCTCACAAGCTCCTGCAACAAAGGATGCTGAGGGCAGAGGACTCCCTCGACAGACACACTCACCCTAAGGCCCCTGGATAAGCTTCAGCAGGAATGCTCACGAATGGAGTTCAGAGGGGTCCTGGAAGGGAGAACCCTGGAGCTGCAATGATCAGCTAAGAGACAAGAAATGTTCTGTTTTGTTTGTCAACTTTTATATTTTATTGGACTGGAATTACGTAACCCCTTTTTGTGTGTGAGTATATGATGTTCTTTGAGCATTCCCCCCCATATTTTCCCCTCCCCTTCCCCTCTGGTTAGTCTCCTTTGTTCTCCCAGGCAGCTTCCTTTCTGCCTTTATGCCATCTGTACTATAAGATAAATGCAACCAGAGGAAGTGAGTTTTACTCTCCCATCATCCTGGAGATTGGGGCGAATGCGAAGCTTGGACAGAGACCATCGACCAGGGCAGATGGTGAAAGCCAGCCCTAATGTACCTCCTCAGCAGGAATGCTGGCACCCAGGCCGCCCGCACGTCTCCAGCCACAAGGATGCAAGTATCTGATGGGAGGAGCTGCTTTGATGGATGGTCCTGGAATGTGTGCTTCATTTTCCCATGCAGAGCCCCTGAGCTCACGGAAATGGATGGAGAGGGTTTGGCAGGCGCACTGGAGGCAGCAAGAGATGCAGAGCTCAGCGTGATCTGATCTCCACGTCAGTGTTTGCAGTGTCTGATGTAACTGGTGCCTTAGGGATAGATGGGGGACAACTCTGGCCGACAGGATGGAGAAGACAACAGCTAGTGACTGGGAACTCACAGTGACTCCCCAGACCAGAACCAGTGGCAGACAAGGAGCCAAAGAAAATGGAACTAAGGTACAGACAGTTCCTGGGTAGAAACCTCTGAAGAAGTATGAAGAAGCTTGCATATTTGTCAAATGGTTTGTTGTGCTGGGGATCAAACACAAGGCCTTGAACATGCTAGGCTAATGCTCCACCACAGAAATTTCCTAGGAAGTTTGATTCTCCAAGGAGTGTGTGACCCAGGGTAGATTCCTGTCCATCTTAGGGCCTTAAGGGTGGTGAGTGGATAGGTTGGGGCTTTCCTGGCAATTAAGAGGGTGAGGTGGGCACAGGCTATTTTGAATTTCAGGATCTCAGACACACACGCTGCACGGAGGAGCCAGGAAGCTCACACAGGAAGCTGTAGGTGTGTTTTCATGGTGCTCACTGCCAGTACAGCGCAGAGGTGATCTGGCCAAGGGAAGAAAGCGTTGTCCCTCGGGGTCCTCCATCTGAACTTGAACACTCCAGGATCTCAGGCAGATGCTGGCCCTGGGCACTGTATGCATCTCATGCCCTCAGCTCACATCATTGCTGGACCTTAGCCCAATAGGTAAGCTGAAGCCTTAGCGTAGACGTGCGCAGAAGAGTTTTGCAGGGAGCCAAAAGGAGCCCCTGATCACCCAGGCCAAAGATGACTGGCCTAGAGATGGGGTAAGCAGCAAGAAATGAGAAGAGAAACTGCCCCAGCTCCTACGTCCCCAACAAAACAGAGGGCACACTGCGAATGAAAGACAACAGCCTGCCGGTCAACGGGATGTCTTTAAGCACAGAGAAAGGAATGCACTGTGGGGGGCAGATCAAAGGGCCTTTGGGAGGCCGCTCTCACACAAAAGCACCTCTGTGGCTTCAAACAAGACGGCCTGCCTCTAAGTCTCCAAGGTTTCCTAACCCGAATGTGCCCTTACTGATGTGGTTTGGAAATTAACCTGGCTTTTCTTCCCACTGCTGTTTTACATATTAATTAAAGTGTTTTCTTCGGGACTGCCTGCAGGCTGCCTGGATTCTGCACAGACACTCGCTTTCTGTGGCTCTCAAGCATGTGTGTGTGTAGCTCACTTTGAAATCCCCATCCCCTCAGACACCTTACCTCTATGAACTGTCTTAGGCTTAACTGTGGCCTCTCCCCTAGGGATGCATGATACAGAGAGTTGAGGTGTGGTGGGGGTCGGAGGCAGGGGGATGGGGGGGTTGCACTGCTCCAGCCCCACTTTCCTCATTGTTAGGCCTAGTTCTTTCTAGTTTTTTGTTTTTCTCATTCCCCATCCCCCAGCCCCCACCCCCACAGTGCTTGGGAAAGGTGTGTGCAGGACTCTGCAGGAATACTTGGGTGGGCTTGTTTTATTTCCTGATTTTTGAGGGAGTCCTGGTGGCTTCACACTTGAAGGGCACGAAAGATCCAGCCAAGGGATGTGTGCAGTCACTCGGTCACCCGAGCAACCATCAGACTATGTCCCGGGTTGAAACTCAGCTTATAGTTCGGTAATGGAAGATTTGCTGTGGTGGTGAGGATGCAAACCATCTCCCACAATTAGCCTTCCTCTGAGGTCTACACAGGAAATGCTTCTGTGACCTAAGGAAGTAGTATCAAGTCACAGTGATGTCCTCAGGTGTTGGGGTCATGATTTGGACCATGTCATGATCCCCTTGGGTTATCTTAAGTAACCATTTATTTAGAACTAAGGGATCCCGTTCTCTGTAAAACCAAGGGAAAGCCAGTAACAGTTTGTACCGGAAACCCCAGCTCTTGTAAGGCTGAGACAGGAGGATCACCAGAAGGTGAAGCTATATAGTAAGTTCCAAGCTAGCCTGAGATACAGAATAGAAGCTGGTTTAAAACAGCAACACAGAATGAACAACAAAACCCAAGTTCAAACGATAAAATGCAGTAATACAGTAATCTGCAGCAAAGTCAGGCTGACTTCATATGCCTAAGAGTAGATGAGTCTAAAATGTAAACAACAGAGTCAGTCCCAGCACGTGGAGACAGTTGTCTGTGTAGCAGAGGGCATGGAACTCAAACTGAACTGAAGCCTCCAGCCCGAAGACTGAAGACTGTAGACGGCCACACAGAAGTAATGCTCCACCTTGTCACTGCATGAGGCTAGCAGAGTATTCAGTGGGTGTCTACTGTGTGCATGAAACAAGAGTGAACATAGCTTCCCCAACCAGTCAGGTCAAATTCTGATAGGCAAGAGACAACAAAGCTAGCCAGGCAAACATCTATGGTATGAGGAGTGGCCTCTGTTCAACAGAATCAAATTCTAGCTTTGCTGGAAGTAAAACCAAAGGGCTGTTTTCTTCCTGTATTTACCTGTATTTCCACGAAAGGGTTAATTATAACCTAAACTCCCCATGAGAGGAGTGTGGGGAAAGGAGGCCTCCTGCTTACCACATACCAGCCTGCCCTGAGGAATTTGTCTGTCACATGTCCACGTCCTGTATGCCTTCCTTTGGCCTTTTCAGACTCCTCTGAAAAGGAGATTAGTGAGGACACGTGATGGGCTTCATATGGAAGCCCAGAGTGTAGCCTGCAGTGGATGGAGGAGTTGAGAGATCCCATGTGTCTACACACAGCCTGGGCTTCATCCTCAGACATGCCCTTCCTGTGACATACACACACACACACACACATACACACACACACACACACACACACACACACACACACAGGCATGCACACGCACGTGCACACACTCACACACGAATCATTTCCCCCACCCCACACCCCCAGCCAAACTGACTGCTGGCAGAAATCGAGCTGTGAGGAATGCACAACAGCCCGAATACAGAAGACCTCCCAGTCAGGCGGTGAAACCCTTCCCTGGGCCCCAGCATACCCCTCCCCATCACTGAGGCCCAAAAGAACAACAGGATGTCCAGGGCAGCACCTCCCTCCTCAGCAAGCGAGCTGCCTGCCTGCCTGCCTGCTTGGATGCGAAGTCTAAGGACTGAGCAGGATTAAGTCATCACAGAAAAAAACGTTATGAACTGAGTTAACTGAATCCTCTAACAGAGGGGTTGGTTCTATGGAAGAGCAGGCCCCCACCTACAGAATAGCTAAAGGCTAGGAGGAAAAGCCGGTCATGTGTCCCGTGTGCCTTCCCAGGATTCTGTACTCTAGAGGGCATGGGACTCCCCAACCCCAAGGCTATTCACTATGACCCCCGATGAAAAAGAATTGTCCAAGTTGTTTGTAACATGAAGCTAGCAAAGTCTTCAATGAGCGCCCACTGTGTGAAGCAACAGAAGGGATCCAAGTTTGCCCAACCGCTCAAGTCAAATTCTGATAGGAAAGAGACACGACCGATAGCCAGGCAAACATCCAGGACATTAGCAAGTGACAGATGTCCAACAGGAAAGGAGTCTGTGAAACAGAGGCGGTGGCTGGAGGTTCCACTGTTAATGAGTTATGAGGTTTTATATTTTTGGTTGTGAGCCTAGCCTTTAACGGCTGAGCCATCTCTCCAGCCCGAGTTATGAGGTTTTATTCCGAAAGAGCCGTCTCCGTGTTACCCGCAATCATCCTAGTTAGTCACGTGGGAGGTGATTCCATTAAGCAACTGGGAAGGTGAGGCCAGAAGGAGACTTCTATGGAGGGAGGGTGTGCGCATGAGGGAGTTAGTCCAGCAGCAGTGGAATCTGCACCTTGCTGAGGAGTCTCAAGGGGGCTAGGAGGGGATGGAGAAAGTAAGCCCAGCTCTATAGCATGCTGGCCCATGACAGAAGGCCACAGAGCACAGCCCTGAAGGAGGAAGCTCATCCCTAGGACAGGAGCAACAATGACCCTGGTGGAAGTAGAGAGACCAAGGATGGAGAGCATGACAGGTGGCTACAGGTAGTCATGGAGACAGCAGTGCTGGCCAGAGGCATGATCAGGGTACGAGCAGGGATGAATTAGGATAGTCCGCAGGACCTGGTCAACTATCACATCTGTCCTGTTGGCCCCGCTGCTGAAAGCAGTGAAGAGGGGAGCAGGGTCCCAGCGTGGAGCACATGGAAGAAGGGATTGTTGGATTCATGGGTACACCGAAGCTGCTGTTAGTTCATCGCATGTTCTCCTCCATATCCTGTTGGCCCCAGCAAGCTGCAAGGCTGCTGGAAGGGGCGTGAGTGCGTGTGTGCGTGCGTGCGTGCGTGCGAGCTACAGCTTCTCAGAGGGGCAGCAGCATTGCCGTGGGGGGATCTGTGGCGGGACCAGGAGAACAGGAAGCAGAGCTGTTCTCAGCAATTCGTCTGCTCGCAGCTGAGGGAGGGCTGGGGATCCAAATGCAGTGATGGGATGGGGGGACCCCTAGGCTCGGGATTTAGGGATTCTTCACTTCCAGCTCCTGCGAAGCCTCCCACATGCTCCCAGCTGCTGTTTGATTCTGTCACCTGTCACGGAGCATGTCATTTAGTGAATTTGTGAAGGGCCTTCAGGGTTCCTTTACAGGATTATTTGAAAGCTTGTCACTTATCATAAAGTCAATGACTTCTACGGAAGACCTCTACCTAATGTAGACGGGTGATCAAGGAGGACGTCTGTCAGAGACCGAGTTTCGTTCCTGGGGAGATCGTTCATGTAGAAGAGAGGTCCTACTGTGCCTGTTGCCACACAAAAGAACCTTCTTCAACCTCTGCTTACCTTATTTCGGTCTTTATCAATTAGGCTTTTGGGAGTGATAAAAAGAAAAGAAACCCCCAGCTACTCTGGAGGCTGAGGCAGGAGGATCATGAGTTCAAGATCATTCTGGGAGACACAGCGAGGCTCCATCTGGAAATAAAAAGTCAAAAGAGGGCTGGACAGATGGCTCAGTGGTGGAGTGCTTGTCTAGCTTTTGTGAGGTCCTGAGCTAAACCCTAGCACCGTTGGGGGTGGGGGGAAGAGAGCACAGAGGCAGATTACGAGGCGCTGCAGCCTGATTTTTGAGGGCTTCACCTTGACACACTGACAGACTGAGGGACCTCACTCCTCTGCCTGTTGATCACAGCCTGAGAACTTCGTAAGCAACTTTCTTCCTGGGTGTCTCTCCCTCAGTCCCTGTATCATCAATGTCCCCAGCACTAGGGAAGCAAAGACAGATAGATCCTTGGGGCTGGCAGGCTGGCCAACCAGCCTAGCTGAATTGTGAGTCCCAAGTTCATTAAAAAATCCTGTCTCAAAAGAAAAAAAAAAAAAAAGAGGGTTAGCAATTGACACACACAGAGGAAGAGAGAGAGAGAGCGGGAGAAAGGATACACACACAAAGACAGAGACAGGACAGAGGCAGGAGGCAGAGACTAACTTGTAGTATGTTCCACACTGCAACTGAAAGTCTCACTTACCCACCTCTTCTTGACTTCAAAGGAAACAATGTTTTTTCCCCTTCTCCAAGATAGCTGGTAAGGGCCCTTAACAAAAGGCTGGAGCTCCAGAATGGAAGGGGCCGTGTGAGGCCCCTTGTGGGTGGGAGCTTTCCTGAAACAGTCAAGAAGCTAACCATCTGGCCCCGCATCCTGACTGAGTCACCCGAGGAACAGCTGTGAGTGGAGGAGCTGTGAGGGAAGCTGCCTGAAAGCTGCCTTCCAGAGGACACGAGGCCTCAGGTGTGGCTGTTGACTCAGGCGTGCGCAGGCCGTCAGCCGCGCCTGGGTGCCTCCAGGGAACTTTCGAGGGAGCAGTGGGCTGTGGGTGCAGGGTGGGGTGGACAGGAGGGATGGGCCACCATCCTGAGCCTGGTGGCTTTGCACCCTTTCTTTGGAGAGTGCCACGCAAAGAGGTGGTGTTTGCCGTTTCTGATGTAACTGGTGCCTTAGGGATGGATGGGGGACAACTCTGGTCAACACCATTCGGAGGGAAGGACAGCAACTAGTGACTGGGAGCTTCTGCCAGGTGCCTACTGGCTTTCATCGGCCTGCCAGGGATGCCAGGGGGCAAGTTCAATTCCAGAGGAAGGCTGGGATTTATATCGTGGAGGGCAAACCCAGGCAGCTGTTGTCACTCCAACAAGTTGGGAGGCACACACTTGACTCACACCAAAGGCGTTATTCAAGCTTGACACTGCCCGGGGGGGGGGGGGGGGGGCGGGGGGAGCTTCATGTGCCCACCCTGCCTTCAGAGCCTTGGGGAGTGCACCCACCTTAATAACTCACAGGAGGGAAGCATCACCAAGGGAGGAGCCCTGGCCAGAGGACCCAACGCTGGCCTTGCTGTGGCCCGCTGTGCTCGGAGGACAGAGGAACTCAGAGCTGGCTCGGCCACTTGACCGGACGTGGTTGTGCCAGGCAGAGCAGCCGGAAGCAGGAGGCGAGGACAGTGAGCCAAGAGCTTAATGTCTTCAGAAAATGGCCCAGGCAGGAGGAAGAAGAATGTCTGCTCTGAGAGCAGTAAACAAAAGCCTGGCCGCTGGCCAGGGATCTGCCGCAGACATGGACCGGACGACTCTGAGCGGATCCTAGAAAGCCCAAGAGCATCCATGCCGCCTCCCTCTGGGTCTCGAGAAGCAGTGGCATGAGCCTGCTTCTGTCTGTGAGACCCCAGCAAGTCCAGCAGTAGGGCCAGACTCTGCCCAGGCCTGGCTGAGAGGGCAGGGCAGGGGACAGCCAGCTAGTAATGGATGGCTTGGGGCAAACTAACCCAAGGACCAGTGGTGGAGGAGAAAAGAAAAAAAAGCCAAGGACTCTTCACCCGGGAGTCATGGCAAGCCTACAGGCCCTGCTTACCCATGGGGTGGCTGTGACCCCACAGAAGTCATGGCCACAGACTCCTGAAGACTTTTCTCCTTCTGTCTCAGGAGCAAAAGGGCTGAACCAGGTTCATTCTTACACACACAAGAAGTTCACGAAGACGGGGCAGTGGCATCAGCCACCACCTAGTCTCTGTGCGTTCCAGGGAAGCTGCTCACCCACCGCCAGTGCCACAGCTTCCGGGGCAGGTCTCAGCCATGTAGCACCAAGCAAGCATGGCAGTGGGTGGTAAAGATAAGCTGGGTTCTAACTTGAAACTTTGCTTTGGTTATTGTCACAGGAGCAGGCCACCTCCTCCTGACTCAGCTAATCATGTATTCAGCATTCAATACCGCAACCAGGGAGCCGTCACTGGCTTCTCCTTCTCTGAGCATTATGGATCTTTCCAGAAATGTGACAGATGAGAGAATGGCTAACATGTACATCAGTAGATAACAAAAAATGCAGCCTGGTACTTGGACCATTGAAAGCATGGGGCCATGGTCCCATTAGCATCCTGTTCCATTAGCATGGGTCCAGCTCCTTCGCTCCCAGTGACAGGTACACACACGGCGTCCTGCAACAGAGGCCAGACTGGCCGTGCACAGTACACAGGCACCAGGGCTGAAGTGCAGCAGGTCATCCCTAGGGGACCAGCAAGGCCAGCCTTCCTGCACACTGTCTTGGGCATGCAAAGATGAGAGGCACCGGGGTCCTGCCTCCCGGTCTCTGCAGCAGTGCTGGGTCACCAAGGTAACCAAACCCTTTACCCAGGAGCAGAGAAAACTGGTCCCCAGGATTTCACTGATGCCTGGCCCTCAACCTGCTGTGGAACATACTGTCTACTCAAAGGTCAGTCCATCTGTGGCCTGCCCTCAGCCATGAAACAGACCCACCTCCAAAGAGAACCCTCAGAAGAAGGGGCTTCTGCTTTCTGCCGAAGGCTGACCTTTCACCTCTAGCACCCCACACCGAGTTACAAAGTAGAGGAGAGGGAGGGCCAGCCACACAGAGGGCCAACTGTGATCAATTGCGTCTGTAATTGCTTCTCACCGGAACACAGAGGCTCTGGCCAGACAGCTGCGAAGAGTGGTGTGGCAGAGCAGAACTTGATCCTTGATCTCCTTCCTGCCTCTTTGATTTGTTGAGCATGTCCCTGCCTCAGGGCCTTGGCACTTCCTGGACCACTCAATGAACCTTTCCCATCCTCTCATGCACACAACAGACCAAGCAAGCATGCCATGCCCTCTCCCTGTCCTCCACTCAAGCCCGGTCTGAATTCTCTGACTTGTGGCCCAGGATACAAGACCCCAGCTCTGCCACCCCCTCTCCAGGGCCAGGGAGGCTGCACAAGAAGGAGGAAGAGGGTAAGGAGGGGCCTCTCTGATGCACACCAAGTACCCTGCCTCACCTGTCTGCATCCAAAGGCAGCCACCATTCATAGCCGGGAGCCCATGGCACACTTCTTTTCCTCGTGTCTCCTCAGTGGGAGAGCCTGAAAGGCCTCCAGAGTCTCGTGAATTTTCATTAACAAATCGCTCCATTGACCCAAGGCACCTGCGTAGGGCACCAAGCTAGGAGTTGCCTGCCAGAACCAAGGTGACTGTACCATATCTGTGCCCTCTCAACGAAAAAAAAGGAGAGACGTCCCATAGGCTAGGACTATGCAGTTCTAACAAGACAAACCTCATGAGCCTCCTCGCCAGCAGTTAACTGTGCCAGGATGGTTATTATTTGGCCTCTTCTGTAACATGTCAAGCGCGATTCCCACGCATGTAAGACACTAATGGGTCACTAGGACTCAGTGGTGTTTATTTAGGATGACTCAGGGCTTTATTCCCTGAGTGAGGTCATCCTTCCCCAAAGCCAACAGATGAGATAAATGCTTATGCAAGGATGTATGGAGATGGAGCTCGGTTGGTAGAGTGCTTGTAGCAGGTATGAAGAAAGCTCAGGTTCCACCATCAGCACCACATAAACCTGGCGTGAGTCTGAAGCCAGTCTGGGCTACAGGAGACCCGGTCTCAGAGCAAGCGGGGGAGGGAGGGGCCGAGTGTGAGCACTGCAGCAGGATACAATGTAGCTGAGTGAAAACTCATGGTGTGTCACAGACTGCACTCCGTCTCGGACGACAGTGAGGAAGAGCTGTGACTGCTTTCAGTCCTGAACCCACCACTAGCAGAACACGGGACAGGTCAAGACCCTCTTCACCCAGGTTTATTATCAGGAGTTTTCAAGTTTGAGACGGGAGAGGAGGGTGGTGTCTCTGCACAGTGGCAATGTGACAGGGATACGGTGTTGCCAGCTGCTATGTCTCAGGTTGGTTCCTTCTCCCTTGAGGGCACTCACACCGCAAACCCAAAGATGGAGGTGGCACTCTGGAACCAGCTGGTGAGTTACCAGGTCTGCACTGAAGACCAGGGGTTGTGTGCACAGTAAGGCTGCTTCCTACTGCTTTTGAAGCTGTCTCCAAGGGCTCCAACACTGGCCAATGAAAACAGCAGGTGTGACAGAAGTCCCTTGAGTGTAAATCATAGGGTGTGGTAGTCAACTTACGATTCCCACTCATGGCAGGGATCATGGAGCTAATGACGGTGTCTTCCTCCCACCTAGGAGTCTAGAACGCTGTAAAGCAGAACGCTTTGCCATGGCCAGCAACCACTGGGTGGGCTGTTTTGAGTTAAGCTTCTGGGATCAGGGGGTTGCACGTGGCGGCAGCCTTGCCTGCCCATCCTGACTCATACGCCTGAGTGCCTAGTTCTCTAGAAAAAGCTTTCGATACACTAGGACAGCGCACAGTTGTAAAATGACTTTTATGCAAAGCACAGAGCTGTAAAGAGATTCAAATTTGGTGACATTAAAATAAAGAGCCACTTTACTACCACTGGGTCCTGGGGTGAGAGGCAAAGGTTGAGTCTGAAGAGACGGGAAAGGGAGAGGTTGTACTGTATCAGTTTAACCCGATCACTTCCATCAATATAAAATCAGGGTGGAGATGTGGTTCACGGTAGAAACCTCATTCAGCACGTGCAAGGTCTTGGATTGGAACTCCAGTGCTATCAAAATAAAAGACACTTGAGTTGAAATAGTTAAAACATAGTTTAGTAAAAGGAAGGAAACCCCACTGTCCTAATTTCCTGTTGCTGTGACTAAAGCACCTTAGGAGAGATAAGGGTACACGTGACTCACACTTCCAGGTCACAGTCCATCTCTGAAGGAATTGAAGCAGAAACCATGGAGGCTTGCAGACCCCAGCTTAGCTTGCTTTCTTATCCAGACCACCTCCCCAGGGAAGCTCGGCACCCACAGTAGGCTAGGCCCTCCTACATCAGCTAAAAAAGCAATCCCACCCCCCACAGATATGCTCACAGGCTGTGTGACCTGGACAATCTCTCAATTGAGACTCTTTTCTCAGGTGACTCTGTGTCAAGCGGACAGTTAAAGCTGAGATGGGCACCAACATTGTACAGTACTCATAAATACACTAGCCACAGGAAGACATGGCAGGTCCGGCCGACACAGGCACTGATCAGACAGGGGCAAGCTTAGGGGATCCAGTGAACACACAGAGACATGGACGGATGAACAGGTCAGGGTAAGGCCTGCGGGGAAACGGTCCCCACGGCGGGAAACGGTCCCAACTCAAAGATAAAAACAATGTTCCTTCGAACTAGGAAAATCCAGAGCACACAGGGTTCCAAGTCTTCCCAATTCAATACAGCGACGTGCTCAGTGTTGAGACTCATGCTGGGTGAACCTCAAGAGCAAAGGCAGAAAGCTGTGTGATGCACACACCCAGCAACCCCAGCACTGGGTAGACTGAGGCAGGAGAACCCAATCTCCAGACAAAACAAAAAAGCAAAGGCAGAATTTTTCAAGCATTTAAACTAGTAGTTCTCAACCTCTGGGTTGAGATCCCCCTCCCTTGGGTTAGCAGTGTTCAGTGAGGGGAAAGCAATGGAGTAATGTCTGGAAAGTTCTTGAGGCCAGAGCACACGTCCCACGGAGTCTGATTCATGCCTATTCTCTAGTCTGAGTGAACAAAGCCTACAGAGAGGTTTTCTGAGGTAAGGATCGTTTAGGTTTTAGTAACTAACTGCAAGTGCTAAGTAGAGCCAAGTGGATGGATATATGCAGAGAAGTCACTTCCAGCAGAGGCAAAGCTGCCCTGGATAAAAAAAATCAATGAGTTATCACTATCACTTCAGTGTCATCTGCTCCTAAGCCGCACCTCAGGTGTGACAGTTGATTGTGTCTTCGTGTCTGAAGGGAGCACAGTGGCCTGAGGGGCAGACTCCACAGTGCTGTTGAGAATGGTTCCCGCCCCGATTGGCCTGCTTTATGCTAATTATTTCTCTCTCTCTCTCTCTCACACGCACGCACGCACACACTCCCCCCACCAATCCATAAAAGAGAAAAACACAGCATTGTGAGGCTGTGGCGAGCCAGAAAGGAATTAACACACTCAGAAGTCCACACTTAGAACAGCATCCAGCCCACAAGGACTCAGTATTTTCTCTCTTTAAAATAGTGGGTTTGTCAGCTTGACAGAATCTAGAAGCATCCAGGAGTTGGGCCTCTGAGAATGTCTGTGGGGGGTTATCTTGATTAGGTTAATGGAGGTGGGAAGAGCTGTCCACTATGGGTGGCACCGTCCCCTGGCTGGTATCCTGGATTGTATCAACAGGAGAAAGTGGGGCTTGCAAGACGGTTCAGTGGGTGAAGGCACCCACGGGCAAGTCTGGCAAACTGAGTTCTATCCCTGGGCCCTACAGGGTGGAAGGAGAGAACCTACTCCTGAAAGTTGTCTATGGCGCACGCACACACACACACACACACACAATTTAACACAGAACAAAGGGGAGCTAAGCTGCAGCTGAGATGTGACCAGCAGCTTCAAGCTCCTGCTCTGACCTTCCTGCCACAGCGGACTGGACCCTCAGACTGTGAAAGAAAATAAACACTTCCTCCATTAAGTAGATTTTGTCAGTTTATGACTGAGGGGGCATTTTCAGTTTAGAACAAAAGTTTTAAAATCAAAAGGCATCCAAGTGGGGCGCAGGGGTGGTGTCATACGCCTTTAATCTCAGCAACTGAGAGGCAAAGTCAAGCGGATCTCTATGAGGCCGGCATGGTCTACAGAGTAAGTTCCAGGATTGCCAGGGCTAGGTAGAGAGAAACGCCGTCTCAAAAACGAACAACCACACAAAAGCCCAAAACACACACACACACACACACACTGCTTATTAATGCCAGACATGCAGGAGGAGACTGGATTCAAGCTAAACTGGTTATGTATGCAGAAAAACATCCTCCAATCTGTATTCATTTCATAAATAATGTATTTTATTTTATTGCATATGGCTATTAAGGAGGGCATCCATGGTCAATACAGACTAAATACAGCACACTAATCTACTCCAGTTTATCCTCGTCTTCAGCGGCATCACGTGACCCCTATATACAGCATGTACAGCGGAAGACGACAGGGCGGGCAGGTCTCTTGTTGAAACACAATAGCGAGAAATATATTTAACATCTTGGTAATCCTGAAACAACATGTACCCAAAGAAAACACTGTTTAATAACTGTTAAAAGTTTATATAGCAAAAAATAGTTTAAATTTAAGATTAAGTCAGGCAAAATGTACAAAGACCCAATACACAGCACGAAGTGTGGCCAGCGTAACACTCACACATTTTGGTTCCATTCTGTAAACTAAATTGAGGATGTAAATATTGCATATGCCTGCTCTTCTTGAAATGTACAGGATGAGGGGAATTTAGTGTACTCTCGTTTAGCTCATTCTGGCCACAGCAGGGACGTGTGCCATCTGTGTCCTTTGGTGACCGCGCCGGAACACAGAGGGCGCGTCACATCTGCTTAAGTGTGCTGTCGTCATTGTCGGCTGATGGCCCTCCTGTCCCTGGGGGTTGAGTTACGAAGCAAACACGATGCAGGTTCCTAGACCCAACACGCGTTAAACGTTTCTGGGGACTCTTGAGCATCTCGATAAAGTACAGCACACACCCAAATGGACCTTCACTCGAGTGCTGTGTGCCCCGTGCACTGCTGTGATGTGTAACTACAGGAAGGTAAACCTTGGGAATTCGCGAGGGGTGCGGGCCAATTTACATTCAACTTTGTCTTGCAATCCAGCCCTCTTCTACAAGCTCAGCACAGAAGCGGGAAGACAGCTGCACTGCTGTTAAATATATTTTTAAGACATGGAATTTTTTGGTCATCCTCTAAAAAGCCTCTTCCTACCAATGTATTATTCTATAGTGATATATATCTATATACTTATATATATATATATATATATATATATTCTCCCAAACAAAAACAAAATGACAATAAAAAATTAAACCAGCAACTCACATTTCCAAGCATTAGTGTAGCCTCTACAGGACTATGAAGGAGACAGGCACTGGGGGGTGGGAGGGTGGGGGGGGGGGGGGGCGGGGGAGGCAGGGTCTCCAGCCCTGTGATGGAGCAGCAAGGTGACAGATATTCTGCTGGCAAGCTCAGCCCTTCTAGGTGACACACGAAACAATTCCACAACACTGACATCTTCAGAACACTGAAAACAGAACCAGGGTAGTCTCTGTCAAGAACTGTTGACAGGCGTGTAGGGAGAGAGGCGGGTTTTCCTCTTCTGCCATTAACAGGACAACGGCTGGAATGCCTCCCCTCCTGTTCAGGGCAGGCTTGTTGGCCAACAAAGCAACACTATGTCAGAGATAATATCTTTAAAAAAAAAAAAAAACAACAAAATTTGCCAAACCCAAACCAGCCTTGAGCTTTGAGCATGCCTACACTGAGTTTTTGGTTCAAGGAACTCGAGCTAAGGTTCAGACAGGAGGCTTGTGGGCAGGAGAAAAGGCTTTTACCATCTGAAGTACTTGCATGAACATCTACAGAGAAGAGTCAAGAAACCCGTTAAAGGTACAGAGATCTACCCTTCCCTACCCCTACCCCCAAAGACGGCTGACGATTTCCAAAAGGAGGCTGCTCCAGTCACATTCAGGAATTACTAGGATTAATCCGTCTTCGAGTCCAATCCCATGGAGAATGAATTGTCAGTCCCACACCGGGCTCTGTGCATAAGTAAACATTTGCAGGTACCTGGACTGGAATCCACACCCACTTATCAGAGAGACGGAGGTCAGCATGTGACACACTGGGGCAGAGCTGCCCTGAACCCTGCCAAACAATTCGGCTTCACCTTGAACTGAGGTAGGACTGTGGTAGTTTTGACCATAAGCCAGTAAATACCAGATTTGACCACTTTCATGGGTATTGTAGCATCTCCTTGCATGCTGAGGGATTAATCCACTTTGCCAAAATGAAAGTAACAGAGAACTGACAAGGATGGCCAGGATCAACGAAGGCCAATGGGAACGTCCAATCTCCTGGAGTGTACTCCATCAACTCATTTGTTCACAAACAAAACAAAACGCAACACAAACAGTGTGGTGGCAACGAGTGCCCCGTGTGGGAACAGGCGAGAGAGGGGGCCTTGCCTCTTGGTTCCTTATCTAATACAATTCACAGAAGTCTCAAAATGTAGAGTTGCTCCCGTTGAAAGGAAAGTGAGCAGCGTTGGTTGGAAACATGCTAAGCATCTCCTTCAAATGGATTCGGAGTTCCGTGTGATGGTGATGGAGCCGGCAGCATTTCACTCTGAAAAAAAAAAAAAAAAGATCAGATAACTGGTGAGCCATGCTCCTGGGACCACAGCAACCCGAGAGCTCCCCCAAACCCATGGACCTGAATTTGGGATTTGGGCCTCTCCCTAGAAATGAGGCACTAGGGAGATGTAAATTCAAGATGGCTGTCCTGGAGATGGGGCAGCAGGGTGCACTCAGATCCCCCTGTACATAGGTGAGAAACGTCTTCCCCCACACACTCTGCCAAGCAGTCCAGCAAAGAAGTCACAGGGGATGGGCAGGGTTCTGGCCTTCATGACAAGCATCTGTGCTGGAGGGACCGGCCTGCCTCCCCAGGCACTGGGGATGAATGACAGCCCCCGCACACCTCACTGATCTGCTGCGGGGCTGTGCCACCACTGTCAACCTCTGACTGCTCCAGGGAAGAAGGGCGGCCTGGAGTCCACTCTTCGGCCCCAGGAAACTGCCTGTCACCTCCCCTCTTCTTAACAAGACCCAGACTTGGGCAGGGTGATACAATGTATGGAACGTGTCTGCTGTGAGGTCAAACACTCCGAGAGTCCACAGATGATTTTAAAACTAATACAGGGACCGCACACCTTTCATCCCAGCCCTCGGGAGGCAGAGGGAGGAGGATCTCTGTGAGTTCGAGGCCAGCCTGGTCTACAGCGCGAGATCCAGGACAGGCGCAAAGCTACACAGAGAAACCCTGTCTGGAAAAACCACGCCCTAAACTTGAAAGTTCTCACAGCCACAGGCCCGCTGTCACATGGCTCTCAGCACACCTCTTAGCCTGTACACATCTCCTGAAGCACCAAAGCTACCAACTCCCCTGCTGAGCTGAGTGGCAGGAAGACTATCATGTGGTCATGTGACCCAGCTGCACCTGTTTTCCCCTCCCATGCAGGGTCAGCACACCTCTACCACCAGTCTCCACTCTTAGTGTGTAAAGTCCCTGTTTACCTCTGTGTGTGTGTGTGTGTGTGTGTGTGTGTGTGTGTACGTATACACTTATGTTCTTTCGTCAATGGACTGCATAACTTGGAAAACTGATGTTACATCATGATGACCCTGCCTTTTTATCTTCCAAGTTCCTTGGCTTTTAAAATAAACTGACACACTAACTTTACATCACTCATGATGATAGCAACAAGGCTGCACTGGGTCTTCAACTGGTCAGACCTTTTCTCTCTTAGCTCTAATATCATCATACAGCCAGACACACCTCTAACATCGAAGGGAATTCTAACCTTTGACTCTTGAATCTCATTCTCTACTGAGAGAGGGGGTGTGCGTGTGCGTGTGGTCTTGAGTTCACAGGGTTGACTCAACAGGAGGGATGTTTGCAGTGTGCCCTGAAGCTGAAAAGAAGCCCCTAAGGAACACCCAGCACAAACAAGACGTGTGGCTACTCTCCAGCAAAGCACAGATCTGTGCAAACGGAGCAAACACCCCAACTCTTCTGCCTCCCCCGAGAACGTGACACTTGGAGGCTGTGCAACCTCACGGCTGCTTGTTTTGTAAGCTTTACGTTCTTTCAACAACTAGGAGATACACATTATGCAAATGAAGTCGACAGACACTGAATTCAGTATTTCCTCCTAAGGAAAAGGTCGGCCATCTAGGTCCTGCCTTGACCATTGATCACTGTGATTTTTTTCATCCCAAGAGACTCCAGGGTACAGTGGCACCTGGCTTCTGGCACACCTTAACAAGCAGGGCCCAAGTTTCACAACAAAATGACAGCATCTTGTCACTCAGGTGACCCTAAACCAGTGAAACTCCTACAGGAGAACACCAATCAAGGTCACTTATTTCTACATAACACTGAGGGAGAGGAAGCCGAACCCACGATCTTAGAAGGAGCTCTGGGAGTCCCTCCATGTCCCCACTTCAACACGGGTGTGTTCAAGGGCCAGTGAGGGCTGCACTTTCTTAGGGATGCCATGTGGCCGAGGCATCCAACCCCAAGCATCAGGTCTTTGGGAGCACATATCGAGTGAAACTGTATTTAAGGACAAAGATTAAGTTGAGAAGAAGGAAGACTCTCATTCACCATGCATGGTCCTTTCAATATGATTCTTTTTGAATTCTATCCTCGAGTAAGGTCTCTTCATCCAAAAACAGTATTCTTACAGGAACATGAACGAGTGCCCAGCACATGCGCAACAGGACAGGGAGATGAGACAGCACCACAGCCAGCTGAGACCGGTGTGCTCAGGATGGGCGCATCCCACATTTTCTCTCTCTCACACACACACACACCAGGGCAGTACAAGGTGATGGAATTTGTCTGCTGTGAGGCCGAACACTCCTACAGTCTACAGATGATCATAATACTAGTATGGGGACCTCAGGACTCCTTGAGGATCATGGGACTTCAACTTTAGTGTGTCTACACACTGACAGAACCACCGTTACCAATAGTTCCTTAAGACAAGTCTTGAGGTGGCCACAGTGCTGACAGAGACAGTGTGAGAGACCCGGGGAACCTCTAAAATATAAACAGGATGAGCCATCAGAAGCGATCCTGGGGGTGGGGGGAGCTGCAGAAACAGGGAACCAAGGGGACTCTGGGAGCCTCACTGGACCTACATGTTGTAGAAATTTAACTATGTAAAGATCTGCTACATTTGTTTCTGCTGTGGACTATTTAACTGTGTAAAGGTGTGCCACATTTGTTTAATGATATAAGGATGTGATTTGTTTAATGATATAAGGATGTGTTTAACTATGTAAAGATGTGTTTAACTATGTAAAGATGTGTTGCTGTTTCACCTTGCCTGCCTAAGGTACCTGACTGGTCTAAGAAAAAGCTGAACAGCCAATAGCTGGGCAGGAGAGGATTAGGCTGAACCAGCAGGCAGAGAAAATGAGGAGAGAATGAGGGAGAAAGAGAAGCACACGCCTCAAAGCCAGGCAGCTGCCAGGCAGTAATGAAAATAGGATGTACAGAAGGAAAGAAAGGTAAAAAGCCCTGAGGTTAAAATGTAGATGAAGAGAAATAGGATAATTTAAGTTATAAGAGATAGCAAGAAATAGAAGCTAAGATAAGGCCAAGTGTTCATAACTAGTAAGTCTCCATGTCTTGATTTGGGAGCTGGTTGGTGGCCACAAAGTCTGCTGCACCCACTCCATGGAGCCCTAAAACTGGGAAGTACCACTGAAGAAGGAAGTAGAGAAAGGAACTTCCACTTGTCTATCCTTATGAAAAGAAGGCCTAAGACTGAAGCTGGATATCTTTACATCAACGTCCAAAACACCTTTCTCCAGTGTGAGCAGGCAGCAAAATCTATGTTGCACATGCTGGCCACAGCCCTGACCTACCATGCCTGAGGAGGGCCACATTCAGGAGGCTGGCCCAGGCCTGGGGTTTAGACACCTAAGATCAGGCCTCTGCCCTCACCAACCCTTTCCAGTCCATCAGGAGAGGAACCAGAGCTGGGAACTGACCCGGGTGGAAAGGAGGATGTGTGCCCTCTGCGTGTGAACCAGGATGCGTGTGCCCCATGCCTTTCTGTTTACTTTGACTGGGCTGGTTCATGTAGAATACAAGGAAGGAAAGTATTTTCTAACCCTGCTAATCTGACATCCCCCAACCTTAAATATTTATAGTTCCTAAGGACAAGATGCCAGTATACATTTATTTATTCATTACCTATGTCAAATCCACTAGAGGCAACCCAAGGATGATTAATTTATGGCCACTCTGCTCTGCATGTGCCTTCAGAAGGGAGAAACTTGGCGCTGCCCAGTCCCAGTGGTAAAACAGAAACCCAGGAAGATCCTGCACTGCACACAGGACAGACCCACAAACCCCTGTCCTGCGCTTGGCGGTAGCTCATACTGAGACCGGAGTCACAGGATTTGAAATCTCCTTGCAATTCTACACCCAAATCCATAAGATCATAGACGAACCCTGCAAAGTAGCAAGTGCCTGGAGCCACGAAAAGCAGACAGGTAGCAACAATGAAAGCCATTAACAAAGCAACTTCCGTCCGTTTGCTGTGCCACAGAGCCCAGCTAATGCTTTACCTCAGCCATCACCGGTGACTTATGTCACTGATACGCACCACGTGGGACACAGTCCCTGAGGACGAACCTTCAGGTCACCTTTTCCCAGGGCAAAAAGAATTCAGGGAGTCCCAGTGGCTCCACCTCCAAAGACTCTGCTCAGATCTCAGGAGAAGAGCAGACGGAGGGAAGAGAGAGGACAGGGGACCGAGGTCGAGACAGAGACAGACACACTGCTGAAAGTCCAGGGAGAAGGTCTTCACACTTCGTGGGACAAGTAGCAAAACAAGGAAGTCCCATTCCACTACCCAGTTGAGCACCAACCCCAGAGTCTGTTAGCAAGAAATAAGACAGACATAGGGGCACCTGAGTCAGATGGACTTCCGCTGGGATGTCTCCTGAGACGCTGGGTTTCGCATGTTTGACATCAAGGCCTTTCACACGTCCATGTTCAAGATCCCAGGCATATACCCGGGTCAGGACAGCTCTGCCCTGGGGAGCTCAGGCTCTGTCTCCAGACCTCTGCAAGCCCTTCTCTCCCATGAAGAGCCACACACAGACCCTCACTTGGAGCCCCAGGGAGGTTCTGTGAACAGCAGAGAAGAGCAGGTGTGGACTCCCTACCGCATTCAGGGCTCTGAATCACTAGTGCTATTTAGATGAATATTGATTTGCATGACAAAAGAAAACCGGAGGCCACGCACTTTGTTTTCTAGTAGCAAACCAAATTAAGGAAGAAATGAGCCCTTTGGTGAGGTCCCATAACCTTCAAGCCCATCTCAATGCCCAGTTTAGGCTTTTTATTTAAAGACAGAACTAGTTGGGAAAACAGGCTTTTCAGTTGGAAGAGAAATTCCTAGAAAAATATGCCTGATAATTTAGTATCTTCTTACTTTGCTAAGAGCATTTAAAAAAAAAAAAAAAGTCAGGTTGGGTGTGATAACAAAGCCGCCAGAGATTCTAAGAAAAGCAAACGGTTACTTAACCTTTCATCTAAAT